TTGTTGGTAGACCTTTATTTACCTATTTATTTTTATGCTGTGCTGAGGATTGAACCCAATGCATCACACATGCTTGGCAAGAGCTCTACAACTGAGCTACAACCCCAGCCCTGTATGTATGTTAATCAGCACTGATGGTAATACTCTCTTACAAAGGCACCTCTAAAGAAATTTTAAAGAAAGAGAAAGGCCTTTGGGCAGTGATCTCTACCTACATCTCCAGCCTCTGTTTTCTGATATTCTTTACCTTGCACCATCAACTCCAACAATACTTCACCACTGGCAATTTTCCAAACATTTCACACCATTTCTCACTTCCGCACCTGTGTATGAGCTGTTGCATCCGCCTTCAAGTTCTCGATGTCCCTTAATAAGTAAATAAACTCCTAATCCATTAGGAGGCAGCTCAAGCACAGCCTCTTCTGCAAAGGCCTTCCCTGACTATTCCAGACAGGTAGAAGCACTCCTTTCTCCTGGAAATACACATCACTTCATGCATGACATGCACAACAAGTAGTATTACAGAAATCCATTTTACAGCAACTGTTCGTTCCCCCTTTCTGTTTCTGTACTAGATCTTTCTAAAGGGGGGAAAAAAATCCCATTTTCTCATATATATTCTAAATGTTAAGCACAGAACACAGCACAAAAGAGGCACTCCAAATATATTTGCTAGCTGAACATCTAATGTCTAAATATAAAAGTACAGTCCTGAGATTTGATATTTTTGCTTGATACAGTAATTTAATTGAAATATGTGAATTTTCTACTTATAACTTCAAAATATTATATCAAAACAAAAATCACACAAATTAAAGACCATTCATTCAAGTAGAGAAATAAGAAATTTTTACTAAAAATGATAGGCATTATCAACCCAGAGGAAAGATCAACAAAACAGCCTGTTACTTTAAAAGGGGGAGAGTGCTGCCTAAGACTTCACTGCTATGCAAACAACCTTGTCAAATGGTAAAGACTTTAAAAATAAAAATGATTCATGACCATAATTAATGTATGACTTCAACTATTTGGCTCTCACTGCCCCAGACGCTTTCTGATCTTACCTTAGGGGCTTAAAACACACAGACAGAGTCACATTTCCTCCAATCTTCAGTGTTATCCAAATAGACTTTCCGAGCCCCTGCTACATCAAGACAGCTAA